TTTTAAATTCATATTGCAAAATTGGTCAAATTGAAAATTTTCAAGAAATTTAAATAAAAAGAATAAATTAATGAAAAAAAATTGTTCCACTTGTTTACAGCGTTTAGTTGTACGTTAATTGTTTCCGTTTTCGATAGTGTACATAGTACGCAGTTATTTTTTCAGATGTAAAGCATACACATTTTAAATTTATTTGTTGATGAAATCATAGGATACTTTTAATGGGTATAAGTGGGTGCTGATTTCAATATTATTTCCCCTGACTAGTAAGTGATAAAATTTGTTTATCATTTTCTCGTACACGTGCAAAATTATATCGGTCAAACATTTATGTAAATGTTTATTATTGAAGCGAGGAGATCTAATCGTAATTTTTTGTTAGTCGCCAAATTTAGAATTAAAAAGTCTCCTAAAGTGGAATGTTTTTCATGAACTTTTTTTTATTGATATTTACATAATGCAATAACCGCTTCTCGTTGGGAATTTTGAATGAAAGGCCACTTATGGGAGCCAAAATATATGAATCAAAGTGAGTCAACGAGATTCGACTTGTTTTTTTATTAATTGAATAAATTCTTTGCTTTTTTATTGAATTTGCTATATTATTTTTGATTGGGTAATTGCCATACATAGGCACCAAAATAAAACTGCTGAACACCCTTGTGGAAAATAAGTAACACAACAAATCATTCAATTCCTCCAGTTTGGAATCACTTTTAAAAATAGTTTCTTTCATCTCTCTATTCAACGATTTCTTTATTTGCCTCATAGTCATTATATGTGTTTGACAAAAATGATATTACAAAAGTAATTCCATACATAATTTCAGTCAAATAGTTTTTTTAGACGGGAAAATTTCTCTCAATACTCTGCAATTGACTATAATAAACCAGATTTGTTCCCACCACAAAAGACTATAAATTAACAAAAAATTTATTCATTCAGTTGAATGTTATCCGCTGAGCAAATCGTGTGGAATTGTCAATTTAGTGGAAAGTGAAATTTTAGTTCAAGTCCAAATTACTACCAACAAAAAGTGAAACAAACTTATTGCAATGAAATTTCTTTGCATTTTTATGGTATCAACATTGTTGATCATGTGTGCTGGGAAAAGTTTGGCTGACATCGTTCTTGGTTATCCCCATTACCCACCAGCGACACGCGCTTCTAATTATGAAGACAAAATGCGGAAGTATCCGGAATTAACGTATGAATATGGACGACAATATTCACGGACAGAAAATCCAGTACCACGATAGAATGATAACAGCCCAAACCAATTCCAATTTTTTATTCCATTCTAACTATTATTCTTATTATACACCATTAATCGCTGTTTTTACCGACGTAGCCAAGCTCAGAAATAAAGATTCTGATTTGTTTATTTATACCGCCATTCATTCGACATAAACGAAGTTCCAGTGTCATTTAATCCAATTTTTCGGTCTTATTAGCATTAATTTATTTTGTAAAAAGAACTGTAATCACATCAATTTACTCGAATAAATAAAAGTTAGTATACTCAAATGACTCATATTTAAATCCAATCATTCAATCAAAGATTATCCAACAAGGAATTCGCTACAAATTGTCAATTTTTAGGGAAGTATGATATTTTTTAAAAATACTGTATTTACCAACAAAAAGTGCAAATAAACATATCAGGATGAAATTTCATTGGTTTTTAATGGTGTCAACATTATTGATAATATGCATTAACAATAGTTTGGCTGAGTACGTTGCTATTTGGTTTCAAGAACATAATCGGAGGAGTTATGTTAAGAGCGCTCCCACTCCCTCTTATGCAGAAAAAATGCGCAGATATCCAGAACTATCGCAATCATATTCATGGAGAAAAGAATGGTCTAGTGATACAACAAGTTTCGGGAGAACTACGGAGTACCTGCAATATGATGAGATCTCCGTTCCAACCATGAATCCAATCGAATTATTGAAGATCAGATTAGAAGCGGGAATGCTGAAATTAAAAAGAAAGTAACAATTCCCATAGAAAAAGATTCAGTTACATTAGAAGTGCTCTGAATAGTTTTACGGTTATATTTATAATTTAATTTATAATATTTATTCAATAAAACGTGTTTTTCTTGGTACTTTTCATAAACTTAATCGAAAAGAAGAAGTGTTTTACTTAATCGATTTTTCAACAATGAAATAAATTCGTTGTAAATCGTACACTAAAAATTAATTAAAATGCACTGTAACTGGTAATAGTTTTGTATAAAATTCAAGACCCATTTTACACCATGTTTGCGAGGTAATTCGATTATCATCAATATGTATAAATATTTGAATATTTTTACCTGATAATAATAGATATTTTACAATGGAGTCGATTTGTCGTTTGGATTATATTGAGATGGGCGATTTCCTATTTGTCTATTGGCATAGCGTGAGAATTAGCAAAAAACGTCGTTGTTGCCAGCCTCATCAAGTCATTTATAATCAATAAAGAAGCAGTTCTTGTGCGATATCGATTGTACAGAAACGATTTTCAAATGAATATTAAACAAAGATATTTTTTAAGTTATTTTACTTTTTTTATTGATCACTTGTCGTATTTTGTTTAAAATCAGATACATTTGACCTATGCAAGGGACCAAAGTTTTATATAAGATCAATATTTTTAATGAATAATTTAATGGATACTTAATTCAACTCATTTAATAATTGAAAAACCAAGAACTGTTCTTTTTGTTGGTATTTGTGCTTTGTTTGGTGGACTTGGTACTTGTAGTGGGTGGACCACCATTGCGTTGTGTGTTTGTGTTTTGTTTTATAGAACGATTAGCACTTGTATTAGTGCTTGGAGCACCACGGCGTTGCATGTTTGTGTTTTGTTTAATAGATCGATTGGGAGCTGATTGACCACCGTTGTATCGTTTTGCGCCTTGTTTCGCCAAGCGATCAGCAGATTCATTGCCAACATTTCCAGAATGAGCTGGAATATGCTTGAAATCTAATGTAATTTGTTTGTTTCTGTTGATTGCTCGGTCCAATTCTTTGACATCTTTTTTATATGGGACAGGTTTCCCATTTGACTGTTTCCATTGATTTTCCTTCCATTCCGGTATTTTTTTAACCGATTCAAGAACAAACTTTGAGTCTGTGTTTACTCGTAATTTTGAGATGCCCATTTTACCGGCATCCCTTATGGCCCTCGACGCCGCTTTTATTTCAGCACTATTATTATTAGTAACACCTCGTATCGGTGAGCTCACATTACTATAAAATAGGAAAATGTCGAAATTACTTCAAAACTTGAAAGGTATTTTTTCGTTCAACGTAATAATAAATCATTGAATATCATTTATATCATTAATTTATTAAAAATTCTAAAAAATTACGCGTAACGGAAGAAATTAAGGATAAATTTAATAATGAGAATTACTTTTTATCTCCTTCCTTCCAGTATACACCAATACCAGCTTTAGCGCCACTATTGGAACATGCTCCTTCGATGTAGACATCCGACGCACTTTGACCCATTGTTTGGTTTATCACTTTTTCTTTGTTCTGAAAATAATGTCACCACAATTAGTTTATTACTGATTTATTGTTGCAATCAATTAATTTAATCGGAGTCAAAAATGCAAAGGAAGTCTTCACTATAATGCATAGGCGAATATATGTTTCTTTCGCGTATTGAAATCTCATATCTACTGTACAAAAACGTCGCACGTATTTTGTTAAAAATACATCTATGTCAGTTGTTTTAAAAATGCGTTTCATTATTTTGTGTACCTGACTGGATGCCTGTTATCAGCTAACGCTTTGTATTTGAGTACAATAGTACATTTATGCAATTGCATTTATTATTCTGCGATGTTATCAGTTTCGAACTTTATACAGCTGGAACTCTTGACTGAGTGGTGCGCTATTGAACACCAAAGTTAGCAACGCAGTGTGAGCAAGAGAGCAATTTAGAGAGAAAGAGAAAGAAAATAAATTATGCTTCATTCGTTATTAATACTGAATTTTTTGGTTAAAGTACGTAGGCTGCTGACTCAGCAGTGCTGAGCTGATAAGCTATTGAATCAATCGTTGTTCCTTTAATTATTTTTTATTCTCTCTTTGCAATTGAGATAAGTGGAATAAAACTAAAAAATGACTATGATCACCGTAAGAAATATATCTTAAATTTCAAGAAATCTATGCGACCAATGATTATGCAAATAAATTTAAGGTATAAACAGAAGTAGAAAATTAAGAAAGGAAAACAAAGAAAAAAATTAAAAAGCACACACAACACTTAACAAACCAAGAAAACGATTGAACACACCAGAAAAATGTAAATGACTATGCTTTCTATTCCTACTTTTAATCGATCGACAACAAAATGCTTACTGGCACTCTAGTAAAGTGCAAAGTCGAAGTTAAATATGCGCGATCGTTCAATTATTAAGCAAAACAATGACATTAAAGTTTCTGAACATTAATAACAAAATACACTGTCGCACAAATGTTTGGAGCCACTCCTTTAAATATTGACGTTTTTAGATGTTGAAAATTCTCTGTTTTCAATTGCCCGAAAAAGTATTTTTGACATGTTGGTAATATATGCGTCGATCTTATATTTTCGGAACCCAAAGTACAACCACCGTGATTTTATGGATCTGAAATTCATTTTGTAATCTATTCGAGGCATAGTAGTAAAATGAAAAAAATCATTTGAGTCAGTTAATTGGATGTAGAAAATATTTAATATCGAAAATTTCGTAAAAAATCGTGAAGCGAGTCCGATCTTTCTACCGGCAGTGTATGTTTCATTTCAATTTAATCAAGTTGGCTTTGACATTTGGGTGTGTCAATTCATGAGAATTCCTGTCAAAATGTTGCAATATTAGAAGGAAACGTTATAAAGTCATAATTTGACGGGAATTCGTTCAACCGTAATGGAAATTCACCATTCTCTTATAGTCCAAGAGATACTTCCTTCAGCCAGGTGATTCAATAAATCTGCATGTACATGCATCTATACACCCAGTTTAAAAGTAGCAATTCGAATAGATTTACAGTTAGATTTAAAACTCAATTTGTAACTAATGGATTTGTTTTAATTTCGTGATTGTGGAATATTTCTGTTCTGAAAATACTCTTTATTGGCATTTAACGTTTAAATGATAATTTTTTATTAATTTAATTGAGTAAAATGCGAATCTCTTCATATTATTTCATACAAACAGCGACGTATTTATGTCATTCCATTTGATTGAACTTTTTTATTTTAAAAAGAGCTTTTCGAATATTATATCTTATCAGTTTATAGAAGTTGATTCAAAAATGAATCTTCATTCTCTTGTATTGAAACTTTGAAACAAATATTGAATCATTTAATGGTATAATATCTACAAATTATATTCAGTTAATCAAAAACTAATTTCGTCATGAAATAGATAGCTTGAATCGATTGAAACTTAGCCGAGTTTGCGAATGTTTCGTTCATGATCATTGAAAGTGTCAAACACTTGATTTGGTCGTCAGGATCACTAGTATTATCGGTTGATTTTTTGCTGAATCATACCTAAGTCTGGTTAAAATAATTTATATTTGAGTATACGGAGATCTTTGGTATTTTTTTATTTTTATATCATTATCTACGAATATGCTATTTAAAATTATTAAAAATTATTGGAAGCGATTCAATACTAGTGAATAAGTGAATCTATTGTTTCATATTAGAGATGAATAATATGGTATTTTTTTATTCAAAATGAAAACTCTTGTTTCATTTCTATGATTTTTAAGAAATTGCATTTTGTTTGTTTTGTTCGCTTGAAGGAAAAATACAAATTTGATGAAGACATGAATCTGAATAATGATATTCGAACACATTAGATAGAACGAAGACGTTAAAGATCGTTGAACAAATCTATATAATGATAAAGAAGGTTCACGGAAATATTTTATGTACTATACATTGTAAGCAATATACATGAGTCTCGTCTGCAATTAAATTTCAATATCAGCTGATAGCTGACCAATAACAAAAACAATGGAATCAACACAGATGATTAAGACATCCTTCAATTGACATAATCGCTTGGCATGTGTTTTCCAGATTGCGGGGCGGCTATAATAAATTAATTAA